TACTGTCGTGACTATAGCCGTTACTGTCGTGACTATAGCCGTTACTGACGTGACTATAGCCGTTACTGTCGTGACTATAGCAGTTACTGTCGTGACTATAGCCGTTACTGACATGACTATAGCCATTTTGACGTGACTATAGCCGTTACTGTCGTGACTATAGCCGTTACTGTCGTGACTATAGCCGTTACTGACGTGACTATAGCCGTTACTGTCGTGACTATAGCCGTTACTGTCGTGACTATAGCCGTTACTGACGTGACTATAGCCATTTTGACGTGACTATAGCCGTTACTGTCGTGACTATAGCCATTTTGACGTGACCATAGCCGTTAGTGTTGTGACTTACAGCTGGTACTATACTGAATGCAACCGTTAGTGTCCTAATTGTAGCCGTTACTATAGTGAGTATAAGCATTACAGTAGTGACTATAGCCGTTACTATAATCGTAACTATAAGCGTACTGTAGTGCCTACAGCTGGTACTGGTAAAGACTAGCTCGTTCAACGCTGAACAAATATCTGTCTATGTTTGTTCATTAAGACTCAGTGTTCTCAGACACCTAGACACGGAATTAGAGCAAGTCAGATTTACAGGTGTGTGACCTAGTTTCAGGTGCAAATAGGTCAAGTTATTTTAACACATATGCCCGCGGTACCAGAACAAAAACTCTCAAAAATGTGAAATGTGATGCCAGGATATATATCACATAAATTATATGATGCCAGAAAAAAAATGGATGTGAAGGACAGGTAAACTCTACTTCGTCTATCTAACCGTCGTTTGTTGATAGTGGCACTTGTGGAGCGAAGATGATTAAGTGTTTTGGGGATAAGAAATAAAATTGGATTATGTGAAGAGTGAGGATTGTGAAGAGAGTAAAGATTGAAGGGGGGGGGGGTGATGAAATGCAGCGAGGGGCAGGGAGAAGAGTGAGGATCGGCAGGGAGATTTAGGATATGGCAGTAGAGTGAGGATTAAGGAGTGAGGATTGGACAAGGGAGTTAGAATTTAAGGAGTGGAGTAAGGATTGGGGAGGGAAGTGTGGATAAGGGACCGGAAGTGAGGATTAGAGGAGTAGAGTGTGAGGATAGGAATCGGGAGATGGTGGTTAGTGTTCTAGTAGGAAAAGGGGTAGGTGGGGAAGAGTGAGATGAAATCGTTTTGAAGAGATGGACAAGTAAAGAGGAGGTAAATCCTCCTCCTCTAGGCTACACTACAGCAAGGGAGCCCCTCCTATCTTTTCAAGGGGAGTAACCCATCTAATGACATAATTAGTAAGGGGCGAGCATCGATTGAACGGAGGAGTTTCTTTAATCACTGTAATTGTTGCTTCAGTTAACCCATTGTTTCCCGGCTTTTGTCTGACGTTATGGCTGCAGTTACAGCTATCTTTAGCTGTAGGCTGTCTAGATTGTTAAAAATGTATGTAACTGTTTGCATAGGTGGTTAATGTTATGGTAAATTTGAAAAAAACCCACAACAACAACAGCTAACATCTTTATTGTTAAGAGATATAAATTTAATTTGTAAGTTGAATTTGGAAACATATTTTTGGATATGAATGTCGTATGTTTTTTTTTAATGATAGCCCTTCTTCTTCTTCTCCTACGTTCTAAATTGAGTTTATGTTGGAGGATTTAAACAACAAGCCCAACTTCGTGAATGAACTGGACTGAGGCCTCCAGATCTGCGGGTGCCCCATATAGTTTTTCCTTGAGTGGGGTGTAGGGGCCAGTGTTTGGATCTCACCTAGTCGTACGATCCAAACACTGGCCACTATACACCCCACTCAAGGAAAAACTATATGGGGCACCCGCAGATATGTATAAATCTTCCGACATTCACTAAATTAAGAACGCAGAAGAAGAAGAAGTTTCTTAAATAACAATCTGACATGTTATTCAACATGTTATTACGTTAGAGAAATCATATATTACACCTTGATGTGAAACGGATTTAAAATCTTATTTTGTGTTAAAGAAAATAAACTATTTCTCAAACCATTCGAAATGGCAAACATTTAAGGACAAAATCAAATCAGTATTACATAACTTGGATAACCTTACCCCACATAAAAATAAAACCAAAGCGATGATCGACCCCTTCCTCCCCCGTGTTACTTAATGTGTACAATCGCTGTGTCTGGAAGGGTCCAATTTTTTCGGGCATACAAATATAGGAAAATATCAAATTCCATTTCTGAGACCTGGTCTTAACAGAAATAGGATCTGCGTTTCTGAGCCAACCCAGCCCTAAACTGTATTTATCGATTAGCCAAACCCATATATTAGGGGTGGGGGAGTCATGAAATAATTGTGGTAGGGGGTAACCGAAAAGATGCGCCACGGAATACTGCGCATAACAAAGTGCGCAATGGAATTTTTGTTTTATGAAGTCGAGCGTTTATATACATTAATAAATAATGGCTACATGCACATTGCAGCATAATTAAACATATTTCTTCGAAGTATAACAGAAATAAAGTGTATTAGTAGAATTATAATTTTTCTGGGAACCATTATGGGGGGGGGGGGGGGGCGTGGGATAATGGGAGGGAGGGGTCTAGTGTCATGGTGGTAGGGGAAACATGTAATACTTGGGGTAGTAGAAGCATGAGAAAATTGGGGTGGGGGTGGGGGGAATGGGGGAATCGAAACTAGGGTTCTGGTGGGACTGCGTGTGTGTGTGTGTGTGTGAGGGGAGGGGGTTGTGTGAGACATGTGATAGGTGTGTGGACGCATGTGGTGGAGTGTGTGTTTGATTGTGAGTACAGGTAGGTTTGATATCTTTTCCAGGTAATCAAATTTTACCTGAGATAGCCTCTACTCCTCTTACCCCTCTTACCACCCTACCCCCCCCCCCCACACACACACATCATGCAATGACAGATACCGTATCTGTAAGTAATTTAAAAAAAGTGAAAAAGCAAACACTAAAACCTAAAAGAAAAACAAAACAAAAATGTCGATAACAGCGTGATAAGCAAAGCAATTTCCCCATCATAAACGATGAGCTATAAATAGAACAAGGTTTGATTGGTCGAGGCAATTTGCGTTTTATTTATCTAATTTTATTTTTCTTTAATCAAAAGCTCATAATGTATTTTGGTAACGGCTCATAGTGAACTTAAAAGAGCTGGGTTTTTTTCTTGTCTGTTGCAGGTTCTAAGAGAGTCTGATGGAGCTCATTTGTCGAAAGATGTCGATGGCGTTAGAATTCCAGCGCGTGGTTATACAATACAGAGTGGAAGTTTTGGGTAGGGAACAGTGTTAAGGATTGGTGTAGGACAAAAAGCCGACATCCAAAAGGCCGAAAAGACAAAAGGCTGACATTGACGAAAGGCCGACATTAAAAGGCCGACAAACCATAAGGCCGACAAATCATAAGGCCGACAAACCATAAGGCCGTGTAACCATAAAGTCGAAAAACAATGCTTATATCACAAAATATAGATACGCTACAGCACTGACACAATGGCAAACCCCCGCGCATCAAGATAGTTCATTCCCAAATGTTTGAATTCAATCAAATCACTTAGCGTATTTTTTAATCACACATCTCTACCAAGTAATCCCCCGCCCTCAGCTAAACCAAACATTCCTAAAATGTACTCAATTTAAGTTTTAATTACATCAGATCTCCATATATTGCATGCTATACATTACATCTTAACCCACCCATTCTCCACCCTACCCTCAATCCCACCCAACCCTACCACTCACAAACTCAATCCCTATCCCAGCCCCATACACTACCTTTGTCAAACTCAACCAAACCACCTTCTACACCCACAAACATACACAACCTAAACCAAACACTCAAATACCCAACCATTCCACCCCCCCCCCCCCCCGCGCCACACCCCTTTCAATATTTAGCCAACCCACCCCATCAAAAGCCCCCATAACTTTCTTCTTGTTACATTCGTTGTATATCCTACACCAACACGCCCCCCTCCCTCCCCCCTCCCCTTGCTGTTGCTGATATCACACACCTAAAACTGCTAGGTGAGCACATAAACCCTGATATTACTAAATAACAGGTTTTACAAGTAAGGAGTGAACCTACTGGCTGTTTGATTATGATGCAGGGGATGGGGGGATATAAAGGTGAGATGTTTTGGCTCAGGTGTATATTTTTTAAAAAACTTCGTATTCTAAATAAAGGTTAAAAACTTTGAAGTGAGCATCTTGTACAGGTAGAAAACTTTGAAGTGAGCATGTTGTACAGGTAGAAAACTTTGAAGTGAGCATGTTGTACAGGTAGAAAACTTTGAAGTGAGCATGTTGTACAGGTAGAAAACTTTGAAGTGAGCATGTTGTACAGGTAGAAAACTTTGAAGTGAGCATGTCGTACAGGTAGAAAACGTCAGGAGTGAGCTAAGTGCAAGTGGTTGGGCTGGCCAGGAGCTTAAATGTAGGAGCTCAAATGTAGGAGCTCAAATGTGGGAGATCAGATGTAAGAGCTCAAATTAGCACAAGGGACGGCGTGGACTAGCAGTAGAGCGTATACTGCTACGCCACAAGTCTCGCGTTTAAATCACGTTAGGGAAAGGAACGACGGCTGGGCATAGTGATGACTACACTATCCCCTCATATTACGATGTCAAAGAAACTCTACTTCACCTAACCCGAAAAAGCACGTTACTTACTGTACTTTACAAATGAGCACGCAATTTGACTGAAAGTCAGAAACTCAAAGTCAGAACTTCAGTCATTAGCTCAAATTTCAGAGGTTCAATTTAGGAGTTAAGCACAAATGGAAAGTTCGAACAGTCAAGATTAAGTTAATTAAAAAAAAAAAAGAAAGTTAAAATTCAGAGGAAATATTCGGAAAAGAAACGCGTATGGATATACAAATTCAGCAGCTCAATGTCAATAGCTGTTTAGAGTCAGGATCCACAGGATCCTCACAACAACAGGATTAGAACCGCTGGACAACGCTGAAACAAAGCAGACGCGAAATGCTGCAGACAATCCAAAGAACGATAACCCGTTTAGAAGGTGGCGCTGCTTGTTTGTTTATCAGGGGGTCCCCACCCAGCGCGAGACAAGACTGACAGTCCCAATGTCAAGGGCGAGACGAAACCTGGGGTTTCAAAATTAAATTTTTGTTTTTCCTGGAAGGGGGGAGGGTGAGTGAGGGGGGGGGGGGGTAAATTTTTTGTGTAATGTGAATGAGGATTGATGTGGTTTCGTTTTTTTGTATACTTGAAATCGACAGAGGGGTATTCGTCGTAGTTCAGTTGTAGTTTTTGAGACAATTTTTAAGCAAATACTTGTAGATCTATATAATAGTTATCTGCAATGTGATTAGACTGCGTGATTATTTAACATTTACGATAAGGTCTTGATTGGTGAAAAATGGCAGTATAGTGTTCCATAATCTGTCGAAACATACCTTCGAACAAGCAAAATATATTTCGTGAGCGCGGTGCTTTAAAACCCCTCATACAAGTTTGTATTTTAAACAACGACAGCATCGTATGTTTACAACTACTGCGCGGCCGCGCAACTGCGCAACTCAATGAATACATAGATACGTTTGGCCCTTCAAGCCCCACCCTCGTCTCTTCATCTCATTAAACCAAGAGGAAAAACTATATGGGGCACCCACAGATCTGAAGACCACAGTCCAGTTTATCCAGGAAGTTGTATGTGTTTAAATAATCCAACATATATTCAACTAAGAACGCAGAAAAGGAAAAAAGAATTGAACCATACCATTTCTGAAGTCGAGATAACAAAAGTGCGTTATCATTTAAAAAAAAAAAAATTCTTTCGAGTAACTAATAAACTAAAATAAAAAGTGTATAACTGCACATGGGTAGAGAGCTAGACTGCTAACCCGATAGCCTCGAGTTCGCATCCGGGTTCAAGTCAGTAGAACGTCCGTGAGTCCACCCAGCTCTGATGGGTACCTAACTCTCGTTAGGGTAAGTAAAGGCGGCTGGGCATAGTGCTAACCCCCACTATCCTAAGTCACAGAAACAGGTGAACTCTACTTCACCTGTCCCGTAGACTGTAGACCATCAGGTTTGAAAGGGGACTTTACTTTTACATGGGTAAATGCCCCCCACCCCTCCCCCCTCTCAGTAGACCTTACAAGAACTTCGATCAACAGGATCTTGTGCAGGTCGAACACGACAAAACGATTTCTAGTACGTCATCCGTCTAGCCGTATCGTGGTGACGCAGGCATCATTAGTGACTGGAGTGACGGATGAGAGTTCCAGTCTGTACGGCAGGATACTGGGGTGCTATCAGTGTGTTAGTTTCATGGTAACCTTTTATGTATGTGTGTGGTGGGGGGGGGGGGGGGTGGAGGAGGGGAGGGGGTATATAGAAAAATGTCATACGAAAAATGTCTCAAGAATGACAGTCAAAGAAAAAAAATTAATAACATGAAAATATAATAGGAAAATATGACAGGAAAAATTAGAGGAAAATAGGTTAGGAGAATATAATAGGAAAAATATGACTGGAAAATATGGGACAGGAAAATTTGACAGAAAATAACACTGAAATAAGTCACATGAAAATGTCACTGGAAAAAAAATTACTAACTATAATCACAGTTAAAACTTCATGGGAAAGAAAATAGTTACTTTGAATGACAATGACTTTACATAGTTTTCCTTTTTGCGACAATGTTCTCAAGAGAATCAATGTACTTTTCTACGGAAATAAGAATGGTGTAAGAGTGAGTCGAATGACGATTGGGTTGATAGACACTTAATTGGCAAGTGAAGAACCCGTATGAGGAAGAGTGGTTGGTAGAAAGTATTAGGCGAATTGAGGGGGGGGGGGAGGAAGAGGATCTTTCCGCAACATTTGTGAGGAAGGATATGTTTTTAGATGTATGATAAGTGACATCACGATGACATGACTTACCGTACTGACATCTCGCCCCCTGATATCCAGGCCGGCAGGAACAGGAAGAAGTATATCCGCCATTACACTGGCCGCCATTGTGGCACATCGACTCACTGCAAATCCCTAAAATAAAAAAGCAAATTAAAATAAAATATGCTAATCTTATACTGACTAATCAAATTAATTCGTCACTTTGAATTAATCTTTTTTTCATACATTTTATTTTATACTTGAATGATTGTCGGTGCCTCATGAAAATGGCTCGTGACAAAAGAGCCCCTTTTTATCGATCTCAGAGCTGTTAATAGCGGCCGCAGAATTGGCGGAAGCCGTAATGTAGAAAACACGGATTGGCGGAAGCCGTAATAACGAGGTCCATTTGTCACAGACCCTATATACGGGGTAGGTTTGACGGGGCTCTTTTATCAAAGACCTTTTTGTCGCAGCAATTGTTGGCGGTTGGGAAAAATAATACATATAACCGTTTTAATAGTAAGGAGTAGGTTAGGCCAGGGCGCAGAACTAGTGTTAAGAAAAAGGTTAGAGTTAGGATCACGGTAAATACTAGCGAATCAGTACCAGCAAAATATAGTATTTGTTAAACCTACGGCTAGAATCATTTTTTCCGTTCGTGTTCAAGACAGATGAGACAGATGAAGTTCATCTGTTTCAATGACCACGGCATATGAATGGAAAATACGATCAGCGCTATGCCCAGCAAGTGAACTCTACTTCACTTGCCCCGTAGACCGTCAGGTTTGAAAAGGGAACTTTACTATGCCCAGCTGCTGTTGTTTCCCTACAGTGAGTTAGATACCCATCAGAGCTGGGTGGACTCAGGTGGGCGTCATGCAGTTCGAACTGAGATCCGAACTCAAGACCTTTGGGTTAGCAGTGAAAAGCGCTATTACTCGAACACACCATCCCACAAACTACAGCGGTATTGTATCATCATATACCGGTTCCATTTTTTCTGCCAGTACAGTTGATAAAGTTAGTCTTGTGACCACGGCTAGGTACTGGAACAGTGTTCCCTCTAAGCTGCGCGGCTGCGCGGCCGCGCAGTACTTTCAAATGTGCCGCGCAGACATTTTCTGATGCCGCGCACAGATTATCAGAACGTCGGGCAAGCGTAATTCACTAGAAAAATTGTGGCCAGCGGCTTGAATCAAGCGACATTTTTAGTGCCTGTTTTCTTAAACGAACAGTCTTTGTGTTTTGGGGCATAAACCACAGGTATCATTGACTGGGGGGAGGGGGTGACCTCGGTTGTCATACCACAGGTCCAGTTAATGACAACTCTAAACTGAGCGGGGCGGGTTCCAATGTGAGGTCTGGGAGACACTCCCTCTGCTTGATTTAATGGTTTACCCCAAAACTGGCCCTAGCTGACACCTAATACCTGAAAGGGATTACGGCTTGTAGCTGACCATGGAAGGTTTTATTTTCTATTGCCACCGCCCTCCCCCATCTCCCAACCCCACCCACCTCCTTGATACTTTCACGATTTACCCAAGTCAGATGCAAATTCTACGATTCTAACGGTGGATGTATTTTTGCTCTGTTTGGTTGAAGGATTTATATACTTTATATCCAATTCTTGGGATTATTACGTGCACCTGGATCGAACTGTTTCAGTATTCACAGACTGGTTTAATAAATAAGGAATAAAAGTTTACTACTCTGTGTTATTTGAACATGTTGAAAAGAAAAATGTGTGTAACAAGCGGTAAAACAATACAGCAAAAAAAGCGAGAGATTCGTTTAAACTGGAATGGCTCAAAGTTAAAGTGAGAACCGAAACGCCATATTCTAAGAATGTTTCAGTTGAATTAGGAAGCATCTGAAGTGTAAGTTCTGTGCCGCTAGTACTTGAAACTAACACTGAGCGAGAAGAACGAGTTGAACAAAATGAGCGCCAGCGGTCAAACAAGGATCAAGTTCGAATCCTAATGGATAATGTTCTTCTCGCCATTAGGATACACGCCTCGATGCTGTCGGTACAACTGATTCATAACCACATGGTGAAGTATGTTTCTATACCAGGCAGTTGGCGAAGTAAGAATTGCGCCTTTGAGTTTGTTGAAGCAATCAACGAGGTGGTTGTAAAGAACACACTGACAGAACTTCGAGTAGCATCGTTCCACAAGCTTATAGTTAATGAAAGTACTGACATAATTGTACATAAAATTCTAATCCTTTATTTTAAATTTCGTTCACTCAATTCTTTATTTTACAAAACCGTTTTTGGTGGAATAATTCAGCTTACCGCATGTGATACCTCAGCTCTAGAGGCAGCCATAACACTACACTGAACATCAACTTGAAATGAACCGCATGGTAATGATAACATCAGACGGGGCATCGGTTATGTTAGGCCGTAGGAAGGGATTAGCTGCTTTATTGAAGGCTAAGGTACCCCATTTTGTTGAACAGCACTGAGTTCGATCTTCAGTTAAAAAAGGCGCACTTGAAGAATTGGCCAAGGTGCATGATATGGATGTAATTTCTTTTCGACCAATTTATGAAGTTCGTTGGTTGTAATGTCACTTTGCTGTCAGTGCTTTTGTTAGAAATCTTGATGTTTTAGCTGCTTACTGTGAAGAACAAGTCCAAGACTACAATGATCCTGTTTGTTGTTATGTTTTGAAATCATTAAAAGATCCCCTGTATCAAATTGCGCTTTATACCGTTAATGAATTAGCTAATCTATCAATGTTGTTACAGCGAAATAATTTATCATCTATTGAAGCACATCAATTTTGCATTTCTAAAATACGCAAATTAGAAGCACAATACCTGAGTGAAGATGTTTATTGGAATGGTAAACCCAAGAAAATTTTGAATGAAAACGTAGGAATCGACACAAGACAAATCACACATTTTATACGATCGGTCTGCGATCATTTAAATGTAAGGTTTCCAGGAGATGAACTGCAGTTTTCTTCAGCTTTTGATCCTACTGGTTTTAGAAATTGCGCATTTGAGTTTGGCGTCAAAGATATCAAAGAACTGTGCGTAAAGTACAAAGACGTGTTACAAGCAACAAATGAAGAGTCATTATCATGCAATAAATGACTTTAAATTTCAGATCAGTGAAAAACTCAAATCAGGTTCAGTAAATGCACTAATTGAAAACGCAGGAGTGGCTTTAAATGATGAAAAAATTTGCTCATTGGCAAAGTTAATTGACATATGCTGTACTTTTCAAGCATCCAGCGCTGATTGCGAGCGAGGTTTTAGTCTTATGAACAGCATTAAAGTACAAGCACGAAATAGACTTGAAGCCACACATTTGGATATATCTAAATGCTGGAGAGGATGTGGATTTAAACAAATCATATAAGGTGTGGAAGCAAAGCAAGGTTAGACGCGAGAAATTGCAATAAATGCCACTGAAAGGTTAGCTAATTTTGTTTTCAAGTCAGCTCTTTAAAATGGTCTACATGTTAACTGTTGTATTTGTATTACCGTTATGGTATTAACATTTTTAACATACGATTGCATTACACTAACATAGTACGTCGACCATATAACCTGTTGTCTAAGTATAACTAAATGTTTCTGTTGTGTATTTTATTTTATTTAGATGGGATTTGTATCTTCTTTTAATAGCATACGTTTCATTAGTCCTACACATTATACTATTAATTTATCAAAATGCATGCCTTCATTACTCTGCTTAATTGCAAGCTTAATAAACATACATATAAAGTTGCCCAAGTCATTTTTAGCACCGCGCACACAACATATTTTTTGCACACACACTCTTGGTCCTTAGAGGGAACATTGTACTGGAACAGATAAACTCTACTTCATCTGTGAAATGGTAGTTTTTTTTTTCACAGCTCAAACTAAACATATACTAACCTATCATTCATACCTAGAGAAAGATTAGTACCACGATAACACGTGAGACGGGAGTCACGTGACGACCCCCCCACTATCCCTCCACACCCGGCCATATGACACCCATTTGTAGCGGGCGATGATACCCAAACGAGCGGGGAACAAAACACACCCAGACAGTGATGGAGAGGGGCGCTAACTGATCGGGTCCCGGGCCAGACAGGCAAAAACATCGCGCATGCGCAGGGAACTCACCGGAAATACCAGAGCGCGGGAAAATGACGTATGACTATGTGAGAACAGGCGTAGAATAAAGCTAAACAAATGTTGATCTAATTATCCCGCCCCCGTCCCCATCTACTAACCAGTACCCCTGCCCCACATCTAAAAACAACCCCACCCCCCGCGCCTTATCTATAGCCCAGCGCCCGCGTTTACGCATGCGTGAAAACAAGGTATCGGGTTACTTCCTGTAGAAGAATCTGAGAAACCTCAGAGATATTAGTAACGTCATTCAGGTCATTGGTATTGTCACGGTCTGTTCACGGTGACCTACATCAGGTAAGGTCATGTTCCTGGTCTGTTTGGTTACCTTAATTGAGCGTAGGTCAAGTTTCTTCAACAGGTAGGTCATTTGTTTGCTGGTAAAGCTATGCCGTGTGTTTGTTATGTTTAAGATATTACCTCATATAGTGTATTTTAAATTCCTGTCATAAATAGTCTATTCTCTATCATAGATCAGTTTTCTATGTCATAGATGGGCACTTTGTCTTTCATATGTCAGGTTTGTATCATAGTTAATATATCATAAATTCATATGTCGTTTTGTTATAGATAACCTTGATGTCATACATATGTCAATATTTTGTAATTATTTTGTTTTAGATAGATAACGATTTTGTCATATATTTAGTACATTCCAGTAATACTATCACATAGATGAATTGTATGTGTACGTCAAATTGCTTTAGATCACGTGATGTATTGTTTAAAAATATGAATATTGTAACATTTTAACTGAAAGTTTTATTTTTGTTACATTTATTTTTCGAAAGATATTAACAGAATTTTTGTATTTTTATTTTTATCTCTCGTATGGTACAAATTAAAAAACAAACAAAATGAACAACATTTTGTTTAAAATACATTAAAAAACAAGTAATAACCTAGTTTTTTTTTCTCATTATACGATCAAGAATCAGCAACACTGTAGGCCTATAGAGTGACATTTTTAACATGTGTAATGCTGAAATAGTGCGAAGAGCTATTAAGTT